GCGGAAGAGGAACTCGAGGTTCAGCTCGATGCTCGTCGTGCCGCGTAGGATGTCGCGTATTGAGTTGAAGGCCTTCTTCTCTTCTGCTGTGCTGGCCTTTGCTCCCGAAGGTCCTGTGCTCCTACGCAGCTCGGACAAGAGCTGAGTAGACTCGTCAGCATCGTCGGCGCCTTCGCTTGTCGGCTCGGGCGACTTGTCATCGCTCGAAGGCAGTTCCTCCATGACGCGGATCAAGAACTCCTGAGTACCATTCTCGTACAGATCGAAGGACAACTGGTATGCAATGGCGAGGGACTTTGCGTCAGCCTTCTGGACGAGCTGGCGCAGCATGTTGCTAGCCATAGAGTGCTGACCAAGATGTACAACGCATCGAGCGATGGCGAAGTAGTCGGGGTCTGGGATGTCGTTGAGTAGCTCGAGGATGAGCTGCAAGATCTCGTCTCTTAGACCACGCTCTTGTACCACGTTCATGCAGATGTCGAGCACGTACTCCATCAATTCGTCGGTGCTTTGCTTGTCCTTGCCACAACGCAGAATGGCATCCTTCAGAACTTGACGGTTGCGTGCTTCGATGGCAATGCCTACAACGTGACGATATGCGCCGGACTGATAACATGACTCGAAGATGCGCTGAATGACACCGTGAAGGCTCTTTTGCGTGGCGGGCGAGAGTGAGTCGGGGGACGGGTGTGAGCCAGAGACTCCGGCAGCTGCACCATCGATCTGAACGCCATCGGCTTCGCGAGATAGAAGGGATTTCGGTGGTGCGGAGGATTGCGAGAAGGGGGTAGTGGTGTTGGCACTGCCGTTGGCAGCGGATAGCGATGAGTCGTTGTGGGATGCCGATGGCACAGAACTTGAGGGGGCGGGAGGGTTCTGGAGCGCTGAGAGAGCGACGTACGTGTCGATGCACTTGGCTACANNGGGGTGTCAGCTACTTGAAGAGTTGCTTGCCTGTTAGAAGCACGTACCAACGATAGTCTCTTCAAATTCGCCTTGGTGGTCGAGACGGAAGAGCTTGCCTGCGCCGAGGGCAAAGACCATGGACTCGTTGTACTCCTGAAGCTGGTAGTAGACCTTGGCTGCCACAAGTGCTGCCAGCTCGCGGTTGGGGAAAGATTCGTCTTCGTAGAGAGCCTCACTGTCATTCGGTCAGCCGTGTTCACAGTGATGTCTTGATGGTGCGCACATTTGACCGATGGATCCAGAAACCTCGGTCCAGATGTTGTCCATGTCCTTGTTCAGCTCATCCAGAGCGAAGACCTGCAGCGCTGTGTCGGGCTCGGATAGGAAGCCGACCAAACTGGCGGCAGCAGAGGGAGCGCCGACCATGATGATTGTGATGCGAGGATATGAGTTGTGGTCGTGTTGATGCGGAAGTAAGAAGGGCGTGTGTCGGGGAGTGGCGCCGCAGCTCGGAGATGGAAGCACGTGGAGTCACCCGGGCTCTGGCAGACCAGTGGGAGAGCGACGATGAGGGAATAGAGGTCGTCGAGATTGTTGTTCAAAGGGCGATACGTCGTGATGATAGTGAAGGCGATGGTGAGTTGGAGCTTCCGTCGCTGGGCGATTGTCCGAAGCTCTTTGGAGACAACATGCCGCCATGACGCTCGTCATCTTCGGCGATTCCCGTTCCTGCATTGGCGTACATATCATTTCACAAATTAGACACGGCGACATGAACATCAAATACTTCTCACAATCACTCGCTACCTGCCTTCTGAGTGTCTTACTCAATTGTCTTGGGCGAGGTCTCATCGACAGTGACGATGAGTACATCTTGATATATTCAGATGGAACTCTATCAATGCGCGGCACAAATTCAAATCACGTCGAACGGCCAACTTCATTCGATGGAGACAAAGGAAGTGTTGGGCAAACCAGTAATTGTTTTTCATCTTATGTGCGAGTAAGACAATAACGAGTGTCCAGTGAATATCCTACACAAAACTTTTTCCTTACTTGTTTCTCTTGAGAAGGGTGAGCTTGTCACCAACAGATCCGTCAGCGCCCTTGGTGAACGACCAAGTGGCAGAAGTGGAAGTAATCTTCAGCTTACTGAAACCATAGTCTCTCATGTTCAGTACTGCGGTGATGTTGAGGACAGGCTGATCAGCATCCAGAGTACTATGCGACTCGATGTTGCCAGCCATGCCGTTGATAACGTGGACCATCGACTTGCCCTCGTTAGTGTAGTAGGTGTTGTTGTCCTTGATCGAAGCAGTGTCGATGGTACCGTTACGACCAAGAGGGAACAGACGCTCGTACCAGTGGATGTGACCGGCAAAGTATGCGTCTACGCCATGTTCGAGCATCAATGCCTCGAATGCGTTGCGAATGTTCGCCTGGTAGGAAGAAGTTTGACTGCTGTACATGGGTCTGTGACCGTTGATGAAGATCCAGGGAGTCTTGGTGCGGTCAACACTGGCGAGATCCTTGGCCAACCATTGGTACTGCTCATAAGCCTTGTTGTCCTTCCAGTTGTTGCCGTCAATGCGACCGAAAGGACCACTGTCTGTGATGAAGGTCTGAGCCTCGGTAGGATGAGTCTCGTTGCCCTTGAGGTCACGGACGAAGGGCCATTCGGGACTGTATGCAAAGTCCGTCTCGGTGTCAATGCTGACAAAGTGGGCAAGACCATAATCGAAAGAGTACCAGAAGTTGCCAACACCACCACTCTCAACTCCGGGCATGCGGAAACGGTGCTGGAAAGTTGTGAAGTTTCTTNNCAAAAGAATTGTTAGTACAAGGAAAATAAGAAGCAATAGCATCAGAATGACATACCTCTGAGATTCAGGACAGCTGTAGTAGTTGAGGGCCGACTTGGGTGCGGAAGAATTGGCCTTATCGTTGTTGAGGTACGCGGTAAGAGTATTGTTGCCTCCATCGAACTCTGCACAAGCAGCCTCGTGGTTTCCTGGGAGGACCATGTAAGGAACGGATGTTGTGATGTCGTTCATCCACTGCTGCCAAAGATCCCAATTTGACTCGTACAGGACAGACATGTCACCACCTTGAGGACCACCTTGGTTGGCGATCTCCCCAGCAGGGATTGGTGCATCGAGGTACTCGGCAGGGTAAGGAGGACCGCCAGGAAGTCTGGTGGAACTGCCGTTGTAACAGACTGGCCAGGAGGTCTCACATGGGAGGATACCGGAATACCAGTCATCTGCGTAAGAGATGTCACCTCCGTGCCAGGCAAAAGCAAGACCATCTTGGACGGCGTTGCCGAGGTACTTGTGAGTGCCATGGGCGTTGGTGTAACCCATGTCATTCAGGACTGCGACAGTGAACTCGGAACGATCTCCAGCAGCATGTGCAGTGCGGAAACTGAGTGTCAGAGACTCGGTAGTGCCGTTGGCGGCAGGAATGCGGTACCAGTATTTGGTGTTTGGCTTGAGGCCAGTGATCTGAACTTCGTGGAAGTGTTCACTGCACTGAGTAACAGGAGCCAGGGAGCAAGGAGGGGTGCGGGCGTAAGTGTTTGATTGTCCGACAGCAACGTGGTTAAGGTTGTCTTGCTGAGTACCCCATTGCACCTGAGGTGCAGCTCCAAGACCGAATGGAGTCTGGTAATGAATGTGCATGCCGCCGGGAACGTAGGCCAAGGAGATGACATTGACGTTGTTGGTGGGGTTGGATGTCTTGGGCTTCACAGCTGGAGCCTCGACCAGACGGGGNAAGCCTTTCCCATTGCCTTCTACGGTAGGGTCAACCCAATCACCGACTGGAATTGCAGGTCCAGTGTATGGGAAGGCAGTGTCGACATCGCGGCGAGAAGCAGGTGGTGCTGCTGCGACGAGGGCAGTGCCAAAGAGTACGGCTCCGATTGCGCTCTTCATCTTGCCGGACACAAAGCGAGTGGAAGTATACAGAACACACCTACGAGTATCAAAGGCCTACCTTCTTATATATATCCATGGGTGTCTGGTCTTTCGTCGGGCCTGGCCGGCCATTGGCACATATGGCACATAATATCCCGCTTCAAAGGTTTTGGCGTACAGATGTGGATCCCGCTATACCCACGGAACAATTGTGCAGCTAGATAGATGCAGGTCGCGATATCGAAGACTGAGCATGCTTATCTTTGTTAGTGCCTGATTGGTTTGTCTCACCCACACGTGCTCGGTACCGACGGCATCGATTAGCCCTTCCATGCCGTCGCCTTCTCATGTCCCTGAGCGCGGTAACCGACCTGCCATATCTCGACAAGCTCCAGGCAAGCATTGAGAAGAAGCTTTTAGATTGCTTCGATGGCTTGATATCTAATAATGAGCTTGTCTGGATGGTCGTCGTGTTGTCGCGACACAGAAATGCGAGTCGTGCTGAGATCTCCTTGCGGTCTGAAATATGTGATGCAAATACCTTACTCACCCGTAGCGAAGGCTTCTCAGTCTCGAAACCAACTATTCGAACATGAACCAATCTCAACATACCTATGCAGCTCATCGACCACCAGCCGCCGCGGCTTGTCGGAGCACTGGAGTATATACAAGAAGGAAGCAGGGTGCTCACTCACGGCTGGGCACAACAGCCAGTCGCGAGGCTCCCTCCTCAGTCATGCCCGAAGCTTACAGGATGAGAGGAGTGTACGCTGCTCCAACTGCTGTGCGGCTCAAAGTAAGAAGCAGACTTCATCCTGTTGACGAATGCAGGCAGGAGTACGTCAGCCATGCAGCGGTGTGACAAGATCCGTCCCGATCTTCTAGCGAACAAGAAATATCACAGTCAGGAGAACTCCTTCTCTGATAATTACGCTCGTTGACATTCTGCTACTACATGCTGGTCGTTCTTTCGAAGCCTTATATCAAGCACTCAGATGCGCTCCAAGTGAGTATTTATATACGTGTATGCAGGTACAGTATCGTCGATCACGCAATCTGCCGTGACATCTTGGCGGTTCCGAAGACAGGTGCGGAGTCGCCATTCATCTAAGCAACCATGAACACATTCGACCTTTACAACTTTGTCCGGTATACTGCTTTAAAACATCATTCGAGCGAGTAATGTCCTTCACATCCGTTCCAGTCTTGGACCTCGCGAAAGCCAACAGCCCAGAAACCAAGCCCCAACTGTTAGACGAGCTGCGCCATGCCTTGATGGAAGTTGGGTTTTTATACATCAAGAACACTGCAATCTCAAATGAGCTTCTGGAACAAGTCAAAGCAGCCGGAAAGGCAATCTTCGATATTCCAGAACAAGAANAAGTTAGTCCTGAATATTTCCGATGCATTCTTCCCTGCCATCATATCTAAGAAGAGGTTAGATTGAAGATAGAGATGAAGAATGCTCCTTCCTTTCTAGGATATTCTCGTCTGGCAGCAGAGATCACTGCTGGGAAAATAGACCAACGTGAGCAGTTTGACTTCTCGACAGAGCACCAACTCCCGAAGGCAGGAGCACCACGCTACGAAAACCTTCGAGCCCCGAACCAATGGCCATCTGAAGAGTCTCTACCAGGATTTCGGTCAATATTTACAGAATACATGAACAAGATGGGTGAAATGTCTATTGCGTTTACTTCATTGATCGCCGAGGCAATTAATCTACCACAAGACGCTTTCACCAAGTACTTTGACAAAGACCAGCAACACAAATTGAAAATTGTCAAATACCCGGACGTCTCAACTCTTGGGCAAGAAGGAGGGACAGACGTGCAAGGTGTAGGTCCGCATAAGGACTCGATGCTCACAAGCTATCTGCTGCAAGTCACGGATCACCGCGGTCTGCAGGTGCAGAACGTACTGGGCCAATGGATTGACTGTCCACCCATTCCTGGCACACTCGTAGTAGCCATCGGGCAGGGTCTTGAGGCTTTGACGCAGGGTGTTTGTGTGTCAACAACTCATCGCGTCCTATCGCCTTCTGCTGGCTCAGGCGCCAGACTTTCCATACCCTTCTTCCAAGGAGTGAGATATGATGCGGAATTCGACGAACTGGACGCAATTGGTGTTGGCAGTGTTCCTGAAGCTATCAAAGAACGACGTCGACGCGTGGTTGAAAGGAATGGGGGCAGGATTGATGATGTCGAATTCACGTTCAAGAAGGGCAATGCAGCAAAGACACTTGGTGAGGCTACACTACGTAATCGGGTCAAGAGTCACCAGGATGTCGGCGAACGTTGGTATCCTGATATCCTTCAGGCCCTGCGTGATGAGTGGAATTTGAGAAAGTAGATATGATTTGACCTTAAAGTCCATCATTGGATCTTATTCCAATCATGATCGAACACAGCCGGAAGAAGAAGAGTGTGCGACTTCATGTTGCGTGATTATGTGCCAAATCTTGGTATGATGTGGATCATCAACACACTTTCAATCAAGAAACCAGTGATGGTACAGTTCTTTCATTCGAGACTAGACATCAAACATTCTTCGTTTAACAACAACTCAGCCTTTATTGAACGTGGTCTCATTGTTGATGTAGCAGTGAATACCGAGGGCGTCGCGACCTGTTTGCCCGTGCCCCGCAGTCAGTTCGCCGATCTTCCCTATCGCCTTCCTGTTTGGGCTTCCAAGCTCTTGATATGGACATTAATCAGCCGCTGTCGATAACGTGATTCTTCCTTACAACAAGGTCAATTTCAAAGTCCTCTTCTTCCCGTAAACAGCCATTATGGAAAAGGAAGAACTACCCCAATACTCCGAGGTCGTCAGACCGTGGGCAGACCGCCGGCGTAAACGCCGCATCTTTCGACTGGTTGCAGCTACCTGTCTTTCCTATTTTGCATACTCGGCATACAAGATCTCGGCAAACACTGAGAAGCCAGCCAGTCTGCTCTCTGCTTCTCGCCTGCAAGAAGACTTTGCCACATGTGCTGCCCTTCAAAGAGTTCCGGAAGCTCTTTCTAGCGGACGTGAATACAACAAGCGTTACGTGAACGGCACCAAACCCGTACTGATCCGTAATGCTACTGTCTGGACTGGCGAGCCCATCTCTGGGACAAGCGTGGAAGACGCTCGTCAAGGAAAAGGCTTTGCCTGGATTCACTCGGATGTGTTCGTCGAGCACGGCCTTATCAAGAGAGTTGCACCATCTATCTCCCTTGCGGACCTGCCATCAGATCATGAAACTTTCAACGCCAATGGACGTCAACTCACAGCCGGCATTGTTGACATGCACAGTCATGCCGGTCTCGGTAGTCTTGGAGGTCTTCAAGGCGACGAGAATGAGCTTTCGAGCGACATAACTCCCTATGTCAAGTCTCTGGACTCCTTGGACCCGCTGCATCCAGAGATCCAATGGATCAAGTCTGGTGGCGTCACGACATCACTACTTCTTCCTGGCTCTGGAAACAACATTGGTGGAGAAGCATTCCTTGTCAAGCTTGCCGTCGGCAAGGAAGGCGGCCGTGCTGAACTCAGTCAGCAAGACATGTTGGCCGACCCTGACCACACTTGGAGATACATGAAGAATGCCTGTGGTGAGAACCCCAAGAGAGTCTACGGTAAGCTTGGTGAAAGAGGCCCTTTCAGTCGCATGGGCGAAGGCTGGGAGTTCAGACACGCATTCGAGCAAGCAAGGAATTACGTCAGGACCCAGGACGACTGGTGCGCCGCTGCCAAATCAGTTGGTGCTGAGAATATGAACAGCTACCTTCCTCAGGAACTTGAGTGGGAAAACCTAGGAGCCGTTCTCCGAGGTCAAGTACGAGTCAACACGCACTGCTACACCATTCCCGATCTTGAGATGTATGTTCGTCTCACCAACGAGTTCAAGTTCAGGGTGTACGCTTTCCACCACGCTCATCAAACTTATCTTGTCCCTGATGTCCTGAAGAGAGCTTACGGCGGCACACCTGCAGCTGCACTCTTCGGAGACAACATGTACTACAAAGTCGAGAGCTACAGAGCATCTGAACAGTCCGGCAAGATCCTCTACGATAATGGTATCACCCCAGTATATGTAAGTGACAACCCGGTCATCAATTCTCAGCATGTGAAGCATGAAGCTGCCAAGGCCTATGGCTATGGTCTGCCTTATCACGCTGCACTGAATGGGTTGACATCTGCTCCTGCTGAGCTTTTGGGTATGGGCGAAAGACTTGGGAAGATCAAGGCTGGCTTTGATGCTGATATCGTGGTTTGGGACTCTGATCCGTTATCTCTCGGTGCTGCACCAGTACAGGTCTGGATTGATGGTGCTCCTCAATTCAAAGATCCTGTAGAGCTCAAANAACCTTTGACATCTCCGATCAAGCCTGACCTCGCACTTGCAAAGGACCATGACAAGGCTGGATCGAGCAAGGATGTCGTATTCACTGGTGTCACTAACGTCCATATTCCTGGATTGACCTCTTCATCTGAAGTCAAAAGCCCTGCAACTGTGGTTGTCTCTCAAGGAAAGATCATCTGCGCCGGCTCTTGTGATGCAGAGGCTCACACTGCGACCAAGAAGAACGCTCGCACCGTGGCACTGCACAACGGATACCTTACTCGCCCACTGACTGCATTCGGTTCTGGTTTGGGTTTGCAGGAGATCATGCAGCAGCCACAAACTTATGACGGTCGCGTCAGCGAAAAGGTTTGGGTAAGAGCAGTTGATGGTCTTCTTCTCGATGGTAAAAACCTCTTTGCGGCTTACCATCATGGTGTCACCAAGGCCATCTCGGCACCGATCGCCAAAGGTGGTTCCGGTATATCTCTTCGTGGTATCTCCACTGGGTTCCTGACTGGCGCAAAAACACCTCTCAGCAAGGGTGCCATCTTTGCCGAAGAAGCAGCAGCACACTACGACTTCACTCTGGGTGCGAAGAGTGATGCAAGCCCATCAATCTCAAGTTTGGTAGATGACTTGCGTCACTTGCTTCTGGAGGCTGTTCGCAACAACGAAACCATCACTGATTCCTTCTCCGAGGCTGCAACTCTGAAGAAGGTTGTAGAAGGCAAATTCCCTCTTGTGTTGAGTGTACACAGCGCAGATACCATCTCTGCTCTTGTTAGACTGAAGTCGACTGTAGAGGCTGCTAGCAAAACACCCCTTCGTCTCGTCATCCTCGGCGCTGCAGAGTCCCATCTCGTAGCAAAGGAACTCGCAGCCGCAGACGTCGCAGTCGTCATAGCTCCTCTGCTACCTTGGGCACAATCTTGGGACCAACGTCGCTCTCTCATGGGCGCTCCCCTTCACAATGGCACCGCCATAGATGTGCTTCTAGACGCTGGTGTTCGTGTCGCCATTGGAGTCGACGAGATCTGGGAGACCCGAGACCTGGGTCTTACAGCTGGTATCGCGCTCAAGAACAGTGAGGGTAGATTGACTGAGCAGCAAGCCCTGGACCTTGTTAGCACAAACTTCTACGAGTTCTTGGGATTGGAGTTGCCGGATGCTGGCAGCGAGTTTGTTGTTTACGAAGGGTCGCCGCTTGAGACAGGTGGTAGGGTCGTCGCCATCGCTGATGGTTCAGGCATGACTGAGATTTGGATTTGAAGGATTTGATGAAGAGGCAGTGTATCAATAAGTGGTACGTAGACGTAGAGCAAGCAGCACAATGAGATCGTTGCGTTGTCTGAAATCTGATTGATCACTTCGTTATATACCAGATAACCGAAGCCACCTCCATTAATCACATCTAAAGTGATCACTGGTCTCGTGGTCTAGCGGTATGATACTCGCTTAGGGAGGTGCATCTGTACCTTGAAAACTCTAAGCCAATTGCGAGTGGTCCCGGGTTCGATTCCCGGCGAGACCCAGTCCTTTCTTTTGCTCTTTTGGCCTGTGTCAATGGGCAAAGAAGTAGAGGGAGATTGGTGATGATGATTTTTTCAAGGAAATTTAATGCTTGTAGGGCTGAGCGAAGCCTGGAGTTATCGTTTATCCGCCAAATAGCCGGGAAAGCAATGCCAAGACACGTGCCCGCTCGATTCCTAGAGAGGTCGAAAGACCGTCAAGATCAGCAGAAGAATAATTTATTAATAGTTTTGTCGTGGGAAGGATTCAAAACAATGCTGTCATGATGTTTCTTTGTGACAGAGAGGAGCACTGAATGTGCTTGGCTGTAGGCAGATGCAGGCAGCAGGATAGATTTCAGACATGATTAAGTCGGGGTGGGGTAACCACTTGTTTACCTGCCACAAACCCTCTATATCGATATTAATCGAGATTCCGATTGTCGAACGAACATCATGAGAAACGCAGCAGTATACGCCGGCCTCGTGGCCACTACCTTCTCTACCCTCGGACAGGCATTGGTTAACCTTACCATTGTCTCGTCGGTCGAGGACGTTCGCTTCGGCGATCATCTCCTGGTCGAATGGATGACTGATCGCACCTATGTTTGTCCAATCCTTCCCTCAACACCTAGCGGTACAAGTGCATCTACTGACATACCTACAACACAGAGTCTCGAATTCAACTTTGTCAAGAAGGAATCCTGGGGTTGGTCTGTAGCTGAAGCCTTCTTTGACGACCGCGTCGCAAAAGCTGGCGAGGGCAATATTACTGTCATCGTTCCGCATGTGGAAGCCAACCGGTAAGTTGTCGTCTTTGTTGTGTATGAGGCACATCTGAGCCATCGAACTGATATTGTGTGACAGCNNGAGTATGCTCTCTGGCTTTCTGGCTCCGAGCTTGATGAACCCCGCGGTTATGCCAATCTCACCGAGTGGTTTGTAGTTGAGGGTCAGAACACAGATCTCAAGTAAAAGTCTATAGGCTGGAAAACCACAAGTGTATGCACTCAGTTTGTCAAGGAGACATTTCATGTATTTCTGCATAACACTACATAATATGAAGCCAATATGTCGACGCAGGACATGTATCATAAACACCCGGATCAGTGGCTCTGAGGGCCGCAAAAGTGCCAACAAGCAAAACCATGCGTCCGACCATATACGTGGATGGCAAGAGGATCTTCACAATGGTCCACGGGTCACACCACTTGACGACCAGTCTCTCAAACTGCATAAACAACAGCATAGAAATCATTGAAGCGATTGTCGCTGTCCGCCAGAGCCAAGTTTCGATTAGCGTTGGAAAGGCGGAGTTCCATGATATCAGGTGTAGAGCTGGAAAGGAAATGCCAGCGAGGCAACAAAGTGGCCACAGGAATCTAGAGTGGTATAGTTCAGGATCCCAATGAGCGAGTACAGTTCCTTGCTCGGGATGCATATCGGACGGATCCAAACAAGCATATTTCGTAGTAGAGAACGGCAGGATGTTCTGGTCCAAGCGCGGCTCCTGAGTATATTGTTCTTGCTTCAACTTCTCAAAGGCTGTGTCCATAGCTTCTTTTTCAAACAACCGAGGTGTTAGAGCCCAGATGCCCCATATCGATTCCTGCTTACTCGTTCCTTCGCTGTCGAATTGGTTGTCGAGCGCTAGAGAATCGAAGACGGTCTCTTGTTCTGATGTCATCTTAGGCAAGTTGATTTCCGAAGGCGTCTCGATATCTCGTGGCTTGGTCCACCAGTAGAAGTTTGCGACGGCGAAAAGTGGAACGTAGCTCAAAGTCATCACCTCCAGTGGTGAAAGTGGTAGATTGTAGACGACTCGCATAACGGATTGTGCCACAAACCAAAAAACCTGGGAAGCAGCGAAGAGTTTTGCGGTAGTGTCCGAGTTGCCTTTGTCTTTGATGGCATCAACAGATAGCCCCCACTGCTCGTGATCCCTCCAGTCAAGCAGTCCTTGTTCCAACAGCCAGAGAAATTGATTGGGCCATATGATCTTCGTTCCATACAATGTCCGATACTGTAGTCCAAACATGCCGATATAGAATGCCTGGACTGAACCGAGTTCTCCATTGGTTGTTGTGGAAGCTTCTTTGGCTACTTTCCGAGCTTGGGTCCATTCTTGAGCGGCCTCGACGGCTATGAACTCGGGTGCGACAATTGTCTTCAACCACAACACCAGTTTGTGCAAAAGACGGTGTTTCTTGCGTTTGCAGATACGCGGATGAATGACAATCCATGTGCAGAGCATGATAGTGGCCAGACAGCTTGTCAGCAGTGTCAGTGTACCACGACCTGTTGTCTCAGGTTTCCAGCCCACGAGATCTGAAGAGTTTCCAGAGTCTGTCAGGTTTTGATTATTGGTAGCCATCTTGAGCAGATTTTGTTGGAGCATCGGCTTGCTCAAGGACCCAGACCCACATCCGGAGGGATATGGGCTGATGGCAGAGCATCTGGAATATATTGCGATGATAAATGTCAGGTGTCAAACTAGAAGCATGTCTGAGGTTTATTGGGGTGCATGAGTGATGCATACTCGGGAATGGAACGAAGCGCCTGAAGCAATGATGGCGCTTAAGGAGTGTGTTGTATGCATGATCACTCTCGAAAAGAACAAAAAGCGCCTCCGCCTTGAACACATCAAGAGTCGACAGGACTCGGGGCGTGAGGTTTCTAATCAGAGGTCTCCTGGTATGCAAGGGTTTCTCACAAACAGAGCGAGAAGCAGTTGTATACATCAACGTGGTCACTTACCAGACATGGATATACGCCGGCCTATATGCCATAACCATCGCTATCTCAAGTGAAGTGATTCATGCCAGATCGTTCTGTGTCTACTCGCACCGTAAAGCGACATCATGTGTTTGGAGACAGAACAAGATCGGGGCATCGATCAACCGAGCCTGTTCGCGAAAACGCAGGTACTTGGCAGTTGCACAGACCAGCTTGTGTCTTGACCTTTTTCTAAGCGCCCAACTTGCAGATGCCCTGCATACCACGAGCTTGGAATCAATCTATGTGATTAACGTGGCTCAAGATGCGTAGACGCGTTGTTCGTACGCCTGACCTCCCTGAATGCTCTTTCTCGACTGGTTGGAACGCTCAAGGTCAACACTCGATTCCATGAACCCCCTCTAATCTTGACTCCTTCTACAGTCGCGACATGTTCTTCCAGGTGCTGAAATATGGCTCAATCGTAATCGGATCAATCGGCGCGCTCTATTGTACGCTTCTTGGCCTTTTGACCACATCATGGGTCCAAGCACATGTAGTCTATCTACATGCTATACAGATGACTTGGGGGAAAGATCTTGATGTTCCGGAGGTCTTCGGCTTCCTCCACAATCAGGTCACTCCCTTCGGTATCAAGTCTGCGAGCGGCGGGACCTTGTACGCATGGCACATCTTACCTGTGGAACTATATCGACAACATGAACAGAAGCTTCTGACACAACCGTCTGGTTTCTCGTCGGACGTCACATCCCTCCACTCATTTCAATTGCTTCGCGACGACCTCGAGGCTGTACTCGTCATTCACTTTCATGGTGCTGGCGGTACTGTAGGATCAGGGTATCGCTGTCCGAATTATCGAGCATTGTCAGCCGGTTGGCCTGACAAAATTCATGTTCTGACATTCGACTACCGTGGATTTGGACGAAGCCCCGGAACACCCAGTGAGAGTGGTCTCATCGTGGATGCTTTATCAGTTGTCGAATGGGCCATGGAAGTGGCAGGAATCCCACCAGCTCGGATCCTCATCTACAGCCAATCTCTGGGAACTGCTGTGAACATGGCTGTCGCTGAGCACTATGCCTTGCAAGGGCCTCCGATCGTCTTCGCGGGACATATTTTGACTGCACCTTTCGTCGACGTAATCACGTTGGTCTCCACATACAGTGTGGCGGGAACCATTCCTATTCTCGGACCTATAGCAAAGGTTTCATTGCTGTTCGATTACCTGCGAAGGTACATCAACGACAAATGGTCAACCAAAGATCGAATCGCCTCATACGTCAAAGCCAACGAAAACAACGGCGTCCAATATCGCATTACCATGATCCATGCTGAGGACGACTATGATATTCCGTGGACGCACACTCCTCAATTGTTCTGGCACGCCATCAATGGGACAAAATCGATGCGCATTAGCTTCGAAGAGCTTGAACTCATAAAGGCGAAATCGAGGATTGACAATGGTTCTGCAGGCAGTGTTGTGGAATGGATAACTGATCATGGCATTATCAGAGAAGAAATACTGAAGTATGGCCTGCATGACGTGATCATGGGCAACCCTGTAGTGACACTGGCTGTCATGCGAATGCTTGATTCGTAGGACGAGGGTTCGCGAACGAGAGTTGCTGAGCATCAATAGGCGTGGATGGTCAGAGAGAGCATTGATGAGATCAAAGTTCAGACTTTTCATCCTGTTGCTTCGTATTCACGCCATCTACAGAGGTCCTTTCTTTCCGCATCAACACAGCTCACACTTCAATTATACTTTGTACTAACACAATGGTGATGGCTCGTCCTCGGAAGGTTCGTATGTACCTGTTGTTCATGGTGTTAATGTTTGGCTTGGCAGCTGAAAGTGGCTGGCTGATTGTGCCACAGCTCAAGATTTCGACTCTTCCGCTTCTTTGTCTTCTCTTCTCCAGATCTCATTAACAATATCATTAACCAAGCTCTGAGAGGCACTATGGTTCTATCCTAAGCGGATGGGCATGGTTCCCAGGTTGGTCTCCTTCCACCACACTCTATCAATTTCCGGAGACAGATGTGGCTCTCAATGGATACAAGTGGCCAAGGGGAAGTGTACAAACTTACAAACAATTGTATCAGGGTGATCGTATGCAGTGTAGTGAACCAGATCTAGTTGCTCCTCCAGATCTGTAATAACCAGGGGTCCAGAGCGAGGCTTACGCAGGTTTAGGTTTCGGCTTTGCCTCCTTTAGACAAAGGTCTGCAGCCGCACTTGTCGAGTACTACGAGACCGTATCTACTGCATTATGAACCTCAGCGGGAGCATGAAGCAGTACCTTTTATAGGGTATTGGGACCTACATAGCTATCCTGGGCACTGGTGTTTCACTTTCCAAGGTGCAACTGATTGCTTCTAGTCATGCACATCGTTCAGGTCTCCATTGCTGTCGCCACTCTTCTGGTCTCATCAGCTTGTGCAGCTGCACTTCATAATCCTCATGCAAACCTGCAACCTCGAGGTGCTATTGAAACATGTCAAGCAGTCTTGATTGCTCTTGAAGCTTCGACATTTTGTTCTTCTTTCGTGTCCATCAAGGATATCACGACAACCACGACCAAGGCTAGCACATCGGCCTACACTACGATCACCGTCACTGTAGCTTGCACCAATGCAAAGAAGAAAAAGCGGGATACCACCACGACGCGGGCAGTTATACCCACAACTTCGGCAGCTTCCACTCCTCGTGCATCAAACTCTGCGGCTAAGTGTTCCATTCAAGGCTTGCCTTCGAGGTTGAATATCTTTGCTTGTATGGTCATCCAAGAAGCATGTACTAGATATGTGCAATTCAAGACACTTTTGGTTAGTCTACTCGGTGCGGAGAAACTTCCTATTATTATTTCCGGTCTTCTAGCAGAGATATAATCATTCTTACAATCATCTGACGTTGCTAAATCAACATCAGGTCACTAGATATCGGACTACTGGTACGCTTGTCTAGACAAAGCGAGTGACACCAAAATGTCCCTCGACCTCAACTGCGAAAACACCAAGCAGTGCAACGAGATCAAGCGGTACTAGTAGCTCCACCACTTCTTCTCGCACAACCACAACTTGAACGACTTCATCGTTACCAAGCAGCAGCATAAGCAGCAGCAAAAGAAGTTCAAGCGCTCTTTCCAGTACTTCTTCAACAGCATCTCCAATGTCTCCTTCCAGCACTGCTTCTTCATTGAGTTCACCTACGTCTTCTCTCACGACCACCTCTAGCTCAAGCACGACTTCCACTAGTTCGCTCACAACAACACCTGGACCCACGGCAACGCTTGGAGTGATAACATAAATGCCATCAGCGACAATAACTGTGACTCTACCTACCATTACCTCTGCCAGCACTATTAGCGAAACCCCCATCTCCACTCCTGTCCCCACATCGATCCCATGCCTCGTTACACAGCAAGAATCAGCATGTCTCGACTACTCCAGCCTCTACGAATTCTCCGTTGCCAGGTCTGCCGACATAAACCAGTGCCTTACAACACTGACAACATGTCCGCCCGAGATCCAGGCCGTACTCCCCTCTCTGAATGACCCAATGTTCTTAGCATGCACACTAGTCCTCCAAAACTTGTCCGGATCCTTCGTCAACTACCTCAGGGACCTCGTTTCACTTGGGATTCGTTGCGATCACAAACATCTAGAGCCAATGATCCCACATACCCTTCCAGAACGTAGGTTGAGTTTCTAGAGAGCACGCAATCAACTCATAAACCTTAATCATCTCTCTTTTATATTGATAACTGTTGCTGCTATATGCTATAAGAATGGATAAATGCTTGCCCAATCAGACAAGAGAGCATAGAGAACACCTCAAGACTATATCCCTCCTTGGGCGTCGGTATGAGACGGAAACGATTATGCATTTGAATACTATACTACAAACATAAGCAGCATAAGAAGAAGAGCGCTAGGCGGAAAATAGACAAAGATCAAGGGTTAACCACATGTTCTCTGGGCCGCGAGATGGTTCGCAAACGGCAAGACGCGATTCCGCCGGATAGATGCGAAACATATGTGATGATGATGACCGATTACTTTGTCGAAATTCGAACAAGGTCATACTCAGACTCAGCCTGGAAATTTCCTTGTCTTGCGGTATCTGGCGTCACCCAGCGGGACGTTATGGTCTCGCAGATCATCTCGGGATGATCGGGGTCCTGCGGACTCTCGGTAAACATCGGCTTGCGTGTGACTTCGCGAGTTCTTCCCCGTGCGAGGACCTTGTAAAAGCATAGCCACCATATCGCTCCAAAACCAAGAAGGCCCACGCCTATAGCGGGCACCAATCGTGGATGATTGTCATTGCCGCTCAAGCCTTTATTGGTCCAAGACGCTACCAGAGGAAAGGCATTGGAGATGGCCATTAGCAATGCTGCTGTCACGCTCACCCACGCGTTTGTCGACGATATGTTTTTCCAAGTTTCTTTCTCAGGTTCGTGCCAAGAAAGAAGCTTTTTGATGGTAGGCGTTATTCGCATCAGAAGTATACCAACGGCCAAGCATACAGCGAAGAAAGCATTGATAACATAACTGTAAAGGTTCGAAAGGAATACATAGCGATCATGTGGGTTTTTGACACCGGAGACGGCCAGAATTAGTACCGTGGCGAAGAACAAATGTACAAACAGCGCAACAGCGGGTGTAGGTGCCGAGTTGGTGACGTCTCTCCTGGCCACTTTCCTGGAAGATGGGAAGAGCTTGTCTGAGATCGCTTGCGTCACATGGTAACTCCTGGCGATGTATCGATGCCATGGTAAGATGCCTTCTTTAGCGATTTCCTGCTTTACTGAAATGGCATTAGCGAGGCTCAAGCGAGCGCCGATCAGTGATTACCTCTTGCGGCAGTGAAGGTATTCACAATTATGTTTCCGATGCTCGAGAATGCCAGGAACGCATGGTATGGCTTACGCGATCCACAGGTGAGAAGGAAAAACTCGCTTGCGATGTTCCAGTATCGGCAAGCTTCTTGGTCGAGGTGATTCGTATTTCCTCTCACCGGTACCACCACGAGCTATTCCCGTTAGTTATACCAGACTTGACAGTTTGAGATACGAGTCGCATACAAACATGACATTAACCAGCATGTAGAGAAGACAGATAATCGCCACCGTGGATATCGATGTGCGCCGGAAGTAGACATGAGGCTTGTAAATCTCGCCTAATACCTACACTGGAGTTAATCAATGCCGTATGAGAAGCGGGTAGTTCACGTACGTAGTTTGCCTGATTGAAGCCACCGAAGGCGAAGATAATCTGCAAGTACGCAGGTCCATACTTATGCGGCTGGGTCTCGTTTCCCAGAGCCTGAGCGTCGTCAAGGATGGTATGAGAGCGCAAGTTATCCCTCCATGTACCGTTTGTTGATGCAACACTACAGGACATGTTGGAAGGATCTGGTGATCTACCATGTAAAAGGTTACCTCCCAGACTACACAACCCAATACAACAATCATGCACAAGATCAAAACCTTGATGGTAGCGAACGTGTTGTTCAGAATAACACCATAGCGCCTGTTAGTAACATGAATGCTGCAGACCAGAATGGCTGCAGATATAGCGACGCCGGTCACAGCCCATCCTAGCCGGTCACTGCTGAGTCCAACAGCAAGCAGCAGATGATAAGCGAAAGAAATGGCATTCGCAGCAGAATTGCCAATCAAACAGAAAGGGATACCAAACAAGCAAGCGGCGAAGAATCTGGGATAAGTCCATATCCAATTCATCTGTCCAGATCAGCATATAGATGGCGACGACATGAGGTGTTGCTAACATAAACCAGTTCTCCGCCATTGCGGGGAACGAATCGAGGTTGTGCAATATTGTCAAATTTGTAGCGCGGGATGGTTGTTCCAAATTCGATGTAAATGAGTGTTCCCGCCAGCGTAGCGAAACAGCCGGCAAGCCAAAGCATGAGGGAACTGCCGATGTTGCGATCGTCGCGCAAGACACTTGTGGGTGCATCGAAGATACCGGTGCCTGCATTTTGTCAAAACAGGTGTGCAAACGGCGAGTAGGTAGAGGCTCACCTATCATTCTGTTGGCAATGATGCAAGCGACAGAGATCGTGGTGAGACGACTTCGTGGACTGGCGACAGGATTTTCGAGGACTTGATCTCCATCATGGTCCGCCTGAGCATAAGCCTCTGCGATGCGCTGTCGATCTTCTTCAGTATAGCCGGTGCCACGAACTTGGGAGCTCGACATGATGCGTGGTCCGGGCTCCAGGATAACGTCGAAACAATGAGATGAAAAATGACCGAAAACCGAAGTTCGAAAGCGTTCGACGAATATTGTGCAGCTCCAAGGACATATCAGGCAGATTTGTGGCTGGGGCTTGGGGGCCGACAAGGCTGCATGAGCCGACTGCGCGCGCGTGTGATTCGACACATGTCTATCGATTCGATCCTTCGGGCATGTCAAGATAACCCATGCCTCAAGGTTAACCAGGTGCACCTCATGCAGCCTCTTTTGAGGTGTCTATCCACTACACGCGTTCATGGGCGACGTCGTGGCCGCAGGCCTGGTGAAAGTGGAAGGTGTAAGGGCTCGTGTCAGAGGATATCACGGTCAGTA